GAGAAGGTGGGGAAGAGTGGAGTTCCTAAGGAGGCGCGACGAGAAGCGGGGAAGAGTGGACTCCTGGCGGAGGTAGACAGAAGATGGAGGGAGCGAGAGCTCAAAAACTACGAATAGAGTTATAACACTGCTATTTAGAGTTACCTTAATTTTTATGCATTTTTGCATATATGCAAATGCGAAAACGCGTATTGTGACGAACACGGTGTGTGTGTGTCTAATCGGGTATTTCAGCTCGGCATCCAAGCAAACTCCGGTGCCAAAATTTTGCCAGTGGGTTCCCCAGTCAAGTGCCACCCCAGGACTGCGGAATCAACCTTCACGCAAGTCTGGGCCCCACGTACGAGAGGGTCAAAATTTTGGTGGGAAAATCATTAACTCAGGAACCACAAAAGCCAGAAAGCTGAAATTTTGAGCTTATGTTTCCCGTGCGTATGGGACTCAAAGATTTCAGATTCATCCCCCAGGTGTGCGTGATACCCGCGTATGGACCCGTGAGGGTTCCTAGAGCGAAAATCGCTAACTTGGGAACCAGGAAAGTTGAGGAGCTGAAATTTTAGGGAATGTTCCCAGCGCATGTACAACTTAATATCATTGAATTCAGCTCCCAGGCATACGTGGGTATCACGTATGGCCCAGTGAAGGTTTCTGACACGAACTTTGCTAACTCGGGAGCCAGGAACGCTAGGAAACTGAAATTTTCAGGGAATGTTCCCAGCACATGTTCAACTTAAAATTCAGCTTCCAGACGTATGTTGTTATCATATAGGGCCCCGTAAAATTTTTTGGCGGAAAAAAGGCTAACTGGAAAAATAGGAATGCTAGAAGCTGAACTTTTAAGGGTGTGTGCCCAGCCCCCATAAAAGTTAAAGATATCAAACTCAGCTCCCAAATACGTGTGGTTCTCATGTGCGAACCCATGAAATTTTTTGGCATGAAAACTGCTAACTCTAGAACGGGAGAAGTCGGAAAGCTGAAATTTTAGCAGAATGTTCCCTGTTCAAATACCGCGTAAACAACTTTCCCGAACTTCGGAAACCAGTATGTCGCAAATCGCTACCGGGTTTTCGAGCGATTTTATTACAGCACGAAATACTGCAAAAACGCATGATCGCACGGGCCCGCCCGGCGCTTCGCTAATTATTATGAACAGATCCTGGCTTTTGCAGCACTGGTATCTGTATCTCAGGGAGGGGACGGAGGGGGGGGGAGGGAGGAAAGACTCTTCGCCTAATCTCCCCACCTCCTCCCTTCCTCTACCCCCTAGTTTCGCTTATGGACTCCGTAAATTCAAAATCATTTTTCAGCCAAATCTGAGTCTCAGTTATGTCACCGTGAAGATTTCGGTGGGAAAAATTACGTCTCAGGAGTCATAAAAAAATAGAAAGCTGAAATTTTGGGGGAGTGCGACCTCACAGAATTTAATTTAGCTTTCATTTACTCTTGAGTCTGTTGTGCGGCCCCGCCAAATTTTTGGTGGGAAAAATCATTACCTTGAGAACTATAACAGTTTTGAGGCTGAAACTTCAGGACGATGTTTTCTGCCTCTGCAGGCACCTAAAACTCAAATATAACTCAATATATGGAAGCCTTAAATTTGACCATGTGAGAGTTTTGATAAGAAAGTCACTAGTTTGGAAGCCGGAAAACTGGGAGGTTGAAATTTGGAGGGATGCTTCCCATCCGATTTTTATGCGTTTTAGCGCTATAGCGCTATTGTCCTGAGGCTGCCTGTGTGTGTATGTTCGGAATGCGAGTACATTTTGTCACCCACTTTCGTTTCAGCAACCAGGAAAACTTGGAGACTCAAACCTTGGATATATTTTCCTACCCCGTGTGTCATCCTCTCGTTTTAAGATCTTTCCCCATACACGCCTAAACCCCGCGTACGGGACCCCCAAAGAAATTCGTTAGCGGGAAACGATTTCGCGAACTAAGCGACGTAGAAAGCTAAAACTTTGCAGGGATATTGTCAATGCACGTGCGAGATAAAAATTTTAAACTCAGCTGTCTAGCTCCCCAACTACAGCCTCAAGCAGCTCCTCAACCCAGAAACTGTTAGCAATTCGGACTTGAACCGCAATTGTATATCCAAGTGAACATGGATTTTTTGAAAAACTACTGTTCGAGCAATACTTTCAATTTTTATGCGTTTTTGCTGTGCAGCGCTATAGCTGCTACAGCCAGCAAAAACTTATATTGTCGAGAGGCTGTCTGTGTGGTGTGTGTGTTCGGAATGCGAGTGCATTTTGTCACCCACTTTCAACTCGGCAACCAGGAAAGCTGGAGGCTGAAACTTCGGATATATGTTCCTACCCAGTGTGTCATCCTCCCGCTTTAAGATCTTCCCACATACGCGCCTAAACCCCGCGCACGAGACCCCCAAAGGAATTTGTTGGCGAAAAACGATTTCGTGAACCAGGCAACGTAGAAGGCTGAAACCCTGTCTGTGTGTATGTATGTGTGTGTGTGTGTATGTTTGTGTGTGTGTGTGTGTGTGTTCGTC